TCTTTCTTTCTTTTTTTGAGTTAGAGTCTCACTCTTGTTGCCTGAGCTGGAGTGCAGTAGCATGCTCATAGTCATCGCAACCTCGACCTGCTGCGCTCAGACAATCTCCCTGCCTCAACCTTCTAAAGTAGCTGGAACTACAAGCATGCTAATTTTTTTTATTTATGATAGAGATGAGGTCTCACCAAGTTGCCCAGGCTGGTCTTGAACATATGGACTCAGGCAATCCTCTCACCTCAGTCTCCCAAAGTGCTGGGATTATAGGCGTGAGCCACCACACTCAGCCAAGACCCTTTCTTCCAAATCAAATCACATCCACAGGTTCCAGGGATTAGAACGTAGACATATTATTTTGTAGGCCACCATTCAAGTCACCAAACCATTCCTGTGTGTGGTCTACCCCTCTTTTCTCTCAAGCCACTCTGCCGAAAAGATGGAGAAATTAATATAATGTTAATCTGAACTAGGTTGTTTAAAATTAAGATGTTAATTGAAATTCCCAGGGTAACCACTAAGCAAATAACTAAAAAATAGATAGTAAAATAAACATCATTAAAATAGTACATTAAAAAATACATGTTTAACACAAAAGAAAACAGGAATGGAAAAAAATGAAGACACAGAAAATCAAATAGCAAAATGGTAGATGTAAATTCTACCTTATAAGTAATTACATCAAATGTAAAGAGACTAAACAATCAGAAGGCAGATAGAACTCTGTATATTTTAAAAGATCCAACATTATTATGTCTACAAGAGACACACTTTATATTTAAAAACAAAAATAGGTTTCAGAGAAAGGATGGAAAAACATACCCATGCAAATAGAAACTAAGAGAGAGTTGGAGTGACTATACTATCAATATATCTATACATAATAGACTTGAAGACAAAAATCATTACTACAAAGAAGGGCATTTTATAATGTTAAAAGAGTGGATCTGTCAGGAATATATAACTACTATATACGAGGGAAGAATCCAAAAACAAACCCAGAAATAATTTATAAAAAATTGTGCATTTATTCTTACATTTTCAACTTCAGTCTTTAAAGTTCTCTCCGTTTGAGGCAACACCTATTAAGATACTTTGCCACTGCTCAAAACAGTTTTTTAACCCATCAATTTTGATGTCTTTAAATACTTCTGCCGTTTTTTGTTTCACCACTTCCACACTGGCAAAACATTTCCCTTTGGGGACTTTTTTCATCCAGGGAAATTTTAAAAATGCCATTTGGGGTGAGATCAGGTGAAGAGGGAGGGTGGGACATGGGCGTCATACCATTTTTGGTCAAAACTGCTGAACACTCAGCACAGTGTGGGCAGGTTGTTCATGTAAATCAACGGGCAAACATGTTGAAAGAATTTCCAAAAAATGCACCGAAGCAGAATGCAGCCTCTCATAATAAATGCTAGCTAGTGCACTGATGCTAATAGGTTCCTAGAACACTTACCTAACACAGGTAGTCTCTACTACAAGTAGAGATAATTCCCAGTTTTTTGGGTCCCTCCTCATACATATGTATGCACCTAACCAAAATCCATGGAATACCAAAATCCATAAAGCAGTAACTGACAGAATTGAAGGGAGAAATAAACAATTGAATAACAACAGTTGGAGAATTCACCCCACTTTGAATAATGGGTACAACAGTGAGGCAGAAGATTCACAAAAATATAGAATATTTGAGCAACCCTATAAGCCAGCTTGACCTAGCATACATCTGTATCTATAAAACACTCTAGCTGCTAGCCCAGGGTAGGAGTTAGATACATGTCAAAATGCGAAAAGAAAGCTTAGGAAGCTCTGTGGCATTTGCCTGAGAACCAGCTTTAGTGCCCCCTTGTGCCCATACTTGGGAACCACAAGCAGAATCATGGAATTGATCATACTTGGGCTGAGACTGTAGACAAGGGCAGAGGACCCTGTGGTAAATAAAGGAGGTTCCAGTTCCCACTCGCAAGGTAACAACTTCCAGCCCAAGGCAATACTCACAGAATCCACCTGGAGTGCCCCACGCACAGTTTAAGGGTAGGAATTTGGGACTTGGTTATTATCACTATTCTTCCCAGGCAAGTGGCTGAGTCCCCTAGTGAGTAGGTATTCACTGTTTGCAAAATCAGTGCTTGAGAATAGTGGCCTACCTTGATGGGGTGGCTGGGTTAGAGGTAGAGTTTGGCCTGAAGCCAGAGACTGAGGTGGTAGCCCAGCTTTGGGTCAGCCTTCGGTTGGGCTGAGGACTCTCATCAGAAAACAGGCCTTCCTCCAACCTAAAGGAAATGCCTGTCCTCTGACCTGAGCTCACCAGCCTGAGGCCAGCCTGGCACTACAGAATCCAGTCTCTTTTGGCCCCTCTGAAGTGCTGCCCTTCTGCCCACCTAGAAACTCTCTAAAGAAACCATTCTCCACCCTTCCGAGCCCAGTCCCACCAGACTGTTCCACTGACACCACTTATTTTTTTTTTTTTTTGAGTTGGAGTCTCAGGCTAGAGTGCAGTGGCATGCTCATGGCCACTGCAGCCTCGACCTGCTGGGCTCAGGTGATCCTTCTACCTCAGTCTTCCAAGTAGCTGGAACTACAAGGCATGCGCCACCACACCAGGTTAACTTTTGATTTATTGTAGAGATGGGTCTCGCCAAGTTGCCCAGGCTGGTCTTGAACCTGTGGGCTCAGGCAGTCCACTTGCCTCGGGCTCCCAAAATGCTGGGAATATAGGTATGAGGTGCTGTGCCTGGGCTCTTTGATTTTTTTTTGTTTTTTTTGCATCGGAGTCTCACTCAGTCACCCAGGCTGGATGCCACCCAGTGGCATGCAGGCTCACAACCACCCACCTGCTGGGCTCCGGCCATCCTTCTACCTCAGCCTTGCAAGTAGCTGGAACTACAGGTGCACACTACCACACCCAGCTAATTTTTTATTTATTGTAAAGACGAGGTCTCGCCAGGTTGCCTGGGCTGGTCTCGAACCCACAGGCTCAGGCAATCCACTCACCTCGGCCTCTCAAAGTGCTGGGATTACAGGCTGAGCCACCAAGCCCGACCTCAACATCTTTTAATTTAGGTCTTGTTGCCTTTGCCCCTGCTGCTCTGCCCTTCACTTCCTCCCCTTTCCAGCAAACTTCAGCCATCAGCTCAGGCCTTATCCAGAAGATTAACATTCTCTGCTAGGCACCCAGGTGGGTTAGAGGTGTCTGTCACAGCTCTGTATATCCTCAGCTCTTTCCAACGTTTGCCTCTGCTCCCAAGCAGCCCGCCCTCCCCTGGCTTCCTGCATGGGGAAGTTGTCCCTGTGATGGATAAATGGCAAGGGCAGGCAGGACAGGCATCCTGGCAGTGGGGAAGATGGAACGAGGGCCTTTGGTTTCAGCTGGGAAGGTTTCCAGGTGCTTAGTACTCACTGGACTGAACACAATTATAAAAGGGAGAGGTAGCATATCTCAATTCCTGGAGCGACACCTTTTGGTATAGCTGAGGCCGGAGGCAGCTTGAGTCATCCGTAAGGACCCATCCAGCTCGGCCATTCTAGGACCCTAGAGCCCACTGTGAAGCGGCTCCCAACGGCCCCTGCCTGCCTGGTTCAACCTGCTCTCCTCCAGTGGGAGCTGAATTAGTGACTCGCATCCAATGAACAGAGTGAGTTTGGAGACATCACTCCCAGGATGAGGTTCTAAAAGACCTGACTCCCATCTTGTCCCCACTCTCTTCCCTTCTCACCGGCTTTCCTGGCCATACTCTCTTGGATGGAGCCCACCACCATGTTGGCAGCCCCCCACGGGAAGCCCATGAGGTCACCACACAGGAGGAGGAAGATCCTGCTAACAGCCACACGAATGGCCCTGGGAGTGGGTCCTGCCTCAGGAGAGTGTTGAGATGACTGAGTCCCAGCCAACACCTGTAAGAGGCCCTGAGCAGAGGACCACACGAAGCCTGGCCTCTTGACTCCAGGAACCGTGAGATACCAGATGTTGCTGGAAGCTGCGAAGTCCTGAAGTAATTCGTTACACAACAGGAACGAATGCATCACAACAGCAGGGCCACATGGGCCAAAAGAGCAAGGCGAAGGCTCTGAGGGCAGCCTGGCTGGGGCCCTGCCTTCCTCGGGTGGCAGTGGCAGGCGGCAAAAGTAGCCCAGCAATAGCTCATGGAGAGTTCTTGTTTTCACTGACGTGTCTAGGCATATGCAGAAGTCTGACACGGCACAATGGTCTCATCAAGAGAACACAGCATGCACAGGGTAGGAGCTGGGTTTCCTCCCTGGCCCCAGCCCCCTCAGAAAGGCACAGATATGTGAGGCTTGGGTTCAGGGATCGTGTGTCCTGACACTAACCTGCAGCTCGAAAGATCAGGCCCCTCTGTGAGCAGAAGAGGAACCCTCTTCCTCACACTCAGACTTGGGAGTATGGGCCAGGTAAACTGAGGCATTGAGAAGTATGGACTCCGGGACAAGACCATGTCTGCACTGAGTCCATGTCGTCATCCTCCTGAGGAAAATCAGTTACTCCACCCCACACATGGGTGGCCGGATACTCCAAGAGATGGTGCTCCAGGGCAGCCTGCTCCCCAGCAATAGCTCCACTGCCACCCCCCTTCTTGTCCTGGAGGCCAGCCCAGGCTCTGATTTGAGACTGGGGGTGGGGTGGGGGGGTGAAAGAAGCATTCCAGGCAGCTAGAGCATTCCAGATGCTCACCACTGTCCTCACATATACAACAACTATGCCCTCCGACTCTTCCCTTGGCAGAGGGACTAGTCCTACAGTCACATATCGGGTGGTGGCAACAGAGGTGTTTGCATTATAAGTGACTTCAGCTTCTTCTCCCTAGGGGCAAAGGGCAAATCACCTAACTGGCCTGAGTCACTAATGACCATCCTTTTCCCCAGTTACCCAGGACTGAGTTTTCTCTGTCATTTCAGGAGGGAAGCCACCACCTGGAACGGGACAAACTGGAAGTCAAAGAGCTTGGGATACCGACTTTCTCCTTCTTAAAAAAGACCTAACATTGTAATGGTTTAATAAAGTTATTATAATTTCTTTTAAATAACCCACAGACACCCATGACGCTTCCAAATTTACAGAACAAAAAGCACTCGAGGGCTTGGCAGAAAACGATTTGCAACTGGTTCCTCCAGCACCGTGGCCCTGAGAGCTGGCTCAGTTCACCTCCAGGACCTCTGTCTCCGGGAGGCCAAACTTGGTCTTGTGCTTGTCGAAGAGCTTCACCAGGGCTTCCATGTACATGGCATGGTACAGGTCGATGTCCTGCTGGGTCGGGTGCTCCAGCTTGGGGATGGTGATGGGCTCACCCACTGCAGAATGGGGCAGAGGCCTCTGGTTAGTCAGTGCCGTCCCCCTGGGTTCCACCACGACGCTGATGGCAGTGACCCTGTACTACAGGCCCACCAGGTGTCAGGAACTGTGCTGACTGCCTTGTGTGCTTCATCTCAGGCTGTTCTCTTTATAGATGGGAAGACTGAGATCCAAGGGCACGGGAAGGGACTTGCCCAAGGCCACACAGGCACTAAGCAGCAGATGGGATCAAGACTGGCTGAACCCACTGCACTCAGCTAGGAGGGCCTGTGAGAGTCGTCAGTTCCAGAAAACAGTGTTGCGCCTGCTCTGCTCTGGAAAAGCCACTTTGCCTCTTTGAGCCTGTTTCCTCATCTGTCACATGGGGATCCTTCCTCACAGGGCTTTTCTGAGAGTTCTGTGAATCGGGTGACATGCTTTAAAAAGTACGCTGAGGGCGGGAGAGGGGGGAGAGCAGCATGTGTCCACGATGCACTGTTTTGTTTTCTCACCCCACTGCATTTTCATCCCAGTCCAGTCCTAAGTCCTGCCAAGGCCATTTCTGAAATTTCTCCCAAATCCACGCACTCCTCTGCCATTTCCCCTGCTCCTCCTTCAGCCCAAGCCACTGGCCACCACAAAAACCTCTGGACTGGCTACGTGGCCTCCAATTTTGCCTCTTCTAACCCAGTTTCTATCCAGCAGCCCGAGAATCATTTTAAAATGCAAATCTGGACCTCCCTTGTGCACACCCTCAGGTAGCTCTCTGGTCTTAAGGCCAAGAGCAAACTCCCTCACCCGCCCACAGAACCCGCCCACTCAGCCACACCTGTGCCTGGAAACGGCCTGTGGCCTCTCTAACCGTACAAAGCAAGACGCCTGGCACAATAATAATGCGGTGTGTGGGTGCTGGGCCTCACGTCCACTTCTGAGGGTTTCGCATGCTCCTGCGGGATCTCTAGCTTATGCCCGTGGACACACGCACACAAGCGTGCACACACATCTCCCACAGGCCATTCTTTAGAATCCTCTAAACTGTCCCAAATACACCAGGAATAACACAGCTGAGGGCCAAGTGAAGCCACGTTTTTGCTACACTTCTGACAGGCCTATTTTCTCCAGTTATATTGATGTTTTTGTTTTCGAACATCAAAAACCTACACATGCTTCCTTCTGGAACTCAACTTAGGCTATTGTTTCTGACAGAAACCTCTGCCCCTCTCTGTTGTGGGATATTCCTATTGTTAGCAGTATACAAGTCAGCTCCTCCCTGGGGTCCACTATGGCCCCTGGAGCACCCACTCATCCTCATCATGTCCCCCGCTGGTCTTTGCTATAGCACAATCTTCCTGATATACTCATGAATGCTGTGAACCTAGAGATGGCAGGCCTTGTTTTCTCTCTGTCCCAGCACCTGGCTCATAGCAAAGGCTCCTTTCTCCACCCCACCCCTCCTGATCACTGCCATCAGCACCCAACTCTTTGTGGAATCCTCGTGGCTAAGAACATGGCCATCAGGGCCAGGGGACCTGCACTGGAATCCTGTCTCTGCTGCTATGTGGTACCCTGCGTCAGGATAGTCCTGGCCTGCAGGCTGGGGACTCACCGACGGTGGTGATGGGCTTGGAGTAGGGCACCAGGCCCCAGGTGTCAGAGGAGAAGAGGCCTCGGCCATGGAAGATGCACGGGGCGAAGCCGATGTACTTCTGGAACTTCTTCTGGACCCACCGGCCCCAGGAGCCCTCCTCGAAGATCACCTGCTTATACACCTCATTCTCCCCAAAGGAGTAGACGGGAACCAGGTCGGCTCTGGAAGGGAGAAGCCAGGGTCTGTCACACCCTGATAACTGTGCCTGCTGTCACAGCCCAGAGGCCCTGGACTCTAGCCAATACTCCCCTTCTCCCTGCATGTACCAGAATCATGTCCCCTCACCACCAGGTTCTGATGGGCCCCTTCTGCCCACCTGCTAGTGATGGGGCCTTGGGACCACCAGGCAAAGGGAAGGCTGAGCTCCCTGCTCTGGAGAACCTGCATTTGACCTCCTCCTTCAGGGCCTGCCCAATCGCCAACCCAGGCCTCTCTCAGCCCTGCACTCATCCCTGGGTCACAACCTCAGCACACTGTGTTGTCCCCCTCTGTCCCTCCTCTCTCCTCTACCCTTGGTGCGCCCTGAAGGCAGGGACTGGGTCTAATCTGACCAGGTCCCCAGGGGCTGGCCCAGGGTGGAACCCTGCAAAACGGCCTCTTCTCCCAAAACGAGGCAAGGTCCTGAGGGGACAGAGAAAAGGGCTACTGTTCAAAGCTACACACCAGGCTGCGTGTACCCTCCCTAATGGTGTGACTGCAGGCCACACCCTCCCACTCTACCAGTAGCACTGCTGAAGGTCTGCCATCCCAGGACCTCCTTCTCCTGGAGTCGTTCAGAGCCCAAATATGGGAGGAAAGCAGCAGCCCTCCAGTCCAAATACTTTGCTCTGCTTTTTTTCCTTCCCTTTGTTGCCCAGGCTGGTCTTGGACTCCTGGCCTCAAGCTATCCTCTTGCCTTGGCCTCCCAAAGTGCTGGGATTACACCTGACCTGGCACTGCATCTCCCAGTGTGTCCCTGACCAGACTGCTCAGCCTTCCTCAGTTTCCACCAACGGGAACTGTGGATGTCATCACCTGCTGGGATTCAGGGGAATCAAAGAGGACCCTAGAAATGGATGTGCTTTGTCAAACAGAATGTGCTGAACAGGGGCTCCACAGACGTGTGCCTGGCTTTCTAGGGAGTCCCAGAAAGCCAACCTGCCCAGCTCCTGTCAGTCCTCAGGGTCACCCCTCCAAATGCCCTCTCCTGATGTGTCCAGCCACGGCTCCCTCCTTCCTGTCCTCTTGCTCTCTTAGCAGCCTGATGTATTTTGGCCAAGTGGTGTATCTTTACACAGTTCTGCACAAGAGCCTGGCCTCTCAGCCCAGGTACAAAGACGTCATATCCAGACATCCAGCCTATACTGGGAAAACTTGGCCCAAACTATGCAGTGTGGGCTCCAAATTCCCCCTGACATAATGACTAACTCCCTTCCATATCTTCCTGGGGGCTGAGTCCTCCTGAGAAGCCTGCTGTCCTGGGCCCAGGAAAGCAATGTATGTGTGTGTGTGCATGTGTGTGCATGCAGAGAGGCACTCACCCATGGCGCAGAGCCAATTTCACAAAGCCCTTGCGGTTCCGCAAGGTGACTGCGTTCTTGCCAGGCATGGAGCTCAGGGACTCAGCCGCACCCCCTACCACGATGATGATGGCATTGCCATTCCCATTCTTTGAAAGCAAGTAGTCTATGGTGTCCCGGTTGACAGGGCAGATGCCTAAGGGTGGGTGGGGGAAAACGCAGTCAGGATTGCCCACAGATGAACCCCCATCCTTGCACATGGTCAAGTGCAAAACAGAAAGAACCCTGGACTTGGCCCCAGACCTAACACAGCCCCTTAGACACTGTCTTGTACAAGCTACTTATTTTCTGAGGTGCAGCTTACAGATCTGCAAAATGGGGCTAATGATACAAAGTTGCTTGGGGAACTCATTCATTCAGCAAATATTTCCTGGGGTCCTAGCTCTGCCAGGTGATACTACATGCCGGGAATCCCAATGAATCAGGCTGGTGGGTGCCACAGACAATAGGTTGAACAGAGGGCAACACCAGGGCTGGGGGTGCCCAGAAAAGGGAGTCCGAGAAAGTTTCCTAGGGAAGGTATTACCCAAGTTGAAGCCTGATAACTGTGCCCAGCTCTCCAGCCTGGCCCTGACCCATCATGCCTGCAACTGGCTGCATCTCCTGCCAGAACCCACGCCTGGGATGGTGTGTCAGCTCCCTGCATCACCCTGCTTGGTGGAGAGGCTCAGGCCTTGACGGTGGTGCTCTGCAGCAGTGGGCAGGGGGGCCTCTCACCTCCAGACATCAAGTATTCCCGCAGCACTGGCATCCGGAAGTTGCCAGCCAGTGTGGCTAGGTAGGGCCTAATGCCAGGGAACTTCTTGCTCACTTCTGTGGCCTCGGTGCTGAAGTTGCAGAAGGCGCCCAGGCCCATGATGCCATGGGGGTGGTAGCCGAAGATATAGTTCCTGGTGGTGAGCAGGTTGTGCGTCTTCACCAGCTGCAAAGAACACCTAGGTTAGAGGAAACTGGCCAGGACGAGGTACCAAAGCACACCCTGGAGGTAGGGGAGGGACTGGACATGTTGTGTCCTCTGGGACTTTGTGGGCCTGAAGACTGCAGTGATACTCCACACCTGACCTCAGACTCTCATTGCTGGGGCCACTGTGCTGATGCTTCGTAGTCATCTCTTTGGCTGGAGCCCCTGGGACGAGGGCGGCAATGTCCTCCCCCACTCCTCTCGATCCACAGCCAAGCACACACCAGGGCTTCCCTCCCTCTGGGTCCACCCTCCTCACCACAACCAGAATGAGGCCTTGACAGTGGTGCCCTGCCAAATCCAATCTGAAACCCAAATTCAACCTGTCACTCAGACTGAAGAAGGGTATCCAGCTTCCATCAAGGTAAAGTTCAAGATCTGAGTTTGGCAACTGAGGATCTGGCTGCAATTTTGCCCCAGGTGGTCTCCCCAGACTGTGAGCTCTGGGGAGGTGGGATCTATGTAGCTCTAGGCCCTGAGGGCTCCTTAAGGGCTCACAGAATACACCACGCAGCCCACCTCTGAGGCAGAAAGGACAGGACAGGGCAAGCAGACAGACCGTGTGCCAGCCGGCCTGGGGTGGGGGTGGGGAGGAGGTCAGCTGTAGGGCTACAGCAGTCAGGACCTGACCTGGGGTACTATCCACATAGCTATCCTGGGGTGCTCCAAACAATGATTGGCTTCCTCAGGGCCCACCCCCTGCTCAGAGGCAGGTAGCCTGGAGGGGGATTGGGGGTGGTGCAGTTTCCCTATCCCTGAGCAATGAGAGCTGCTGAGCCTGAGACACCCACCCAGCATTACAAGGAAAATGATGAGAGTGGCAGGCCTGAGAGGGATAGTACGTAAGGACATCATGTTTACAAAACAGCATTTTGTCCCAATGAGAAAAATAGGTCTCATAGTGAATTGTTAAAATATAGGAAAGTAAGCCAGGCTGGGTGGCTCAGTCTGTAATCCCGTGCTTTGGGAGGCTGAGTGGATTGCCTAAGCCCTTGGGTTCGAGACCCGCCTGGGGAACTTGGGAGACCTCATCTCTACAATAAATCAAAAATTAGCTGGGCGTGGGGGCGCACGCCTGTAGTTCCAGCTACTTGGAAGGCTGAGGTGGAAGAATCGCCGGAGCCCAGCAGGTCGAGGCTGCGGTGGCCAGGAGCGGCCACTGCACTCCAGTCTGGGTAACAGAGTGAGACTCCAACTTATATATTTTTAATATATATATATATATATATATATATATATATATATATATGCGCGTGTGTGAAAGCAAAAAGGAAATCGAAGCTCCTGCAATACCTCCATCTAGATAAAACATTCTGACACACTGCGTCTCTTCTTTTTTTCAAAACCACAGATTGAGGATATAGGGTTGATACTATTTTTATGTCATGCTCTACCAAACATCACAGCTATTGTGTTCTTATCAAAATCCCTCCGCTCCTTGTCCTCCCTCGCTGCATTATTCTGTCACACAGCCATGCTATATCATAGCACTGACTCAAACGTGATTGATGGACATTTTGAAAGCTTCCCAACGCTCCCTCTTAGACACACTTCAATAAATACCTTATCTTCGTCCACATATCAGCTTGTTTTTGTGAGACAAACATCTAGGAATACAATTCCCGGGTCACAGAATTGTATTGGTCTTTTTAGCTGCCCTACCTCAAGAGAGATGACATCAATGACATTCCCACCTGAGTGCTTGAAAGGGCCCCTTTCCTGCACGGGTGCCAGTGGAAACTGAGTCCCTGGCCACTGGCAGGGTATCAAGAACCTGGGTTTTCTGTGACTCTAGATTTGGGAGGCTCTTGGCTGAGTGAAGGACCCTGCAAGCAGTTTTGGGGGAAAGGGTGCTGGTTTCTGGCCTCAGAAAACTGAAATCCAAATCCTCAGGTGACAGAGGCCTGAGGGGGAGAGACCAGGGCGGCTGGTGCCATTGCCAGCTCTGGAACTGCAGTGTGTGGAAACGTCAGCGAAACTCCCTCAGTGTCATCCCTACTGCTTGGGACATGGGTACTCTTCTTCCTATTTCGCCCTTACAAAGCAGAGTAAAGCTGCTTGAGAACCTTGAGCACCCACCCAGTAAGTGGGAACAGCAGCCCAATCCAGGTGAGCGAGGGTGGGGGCAGCAAGGGAAGTTGAAAGGCTGACTCACACGAACTTCGCAAGGTGGTTGCTCTGTCATTTCAGCAGAACAAGTCCAGCCACTGAGTCAGCGCTCAGGAAAGCTAGAGTTCAAAAGCACCTTGTGCCGGCTTCCACAAAAGGGAAGACCCGGAGGGGGAGAACTGGAGGCCACCAGGACTGGTAGAAAACTTGGCAAGTTGCTCCTGTGCTGGTAGCCAGGCCCATGCCTACCCTGATAACCAAGAACCCAAGCAGAGAGCAGGCTGGCAGAGCCCTGAAAGATCTAGGCCATTCCCCGGATGACAATGGGAGACCAAGATCTAGAGAAAGGAGTTACTTGTCCTCTTCGGAGGTCATGAGAATCATCCTACACATCTTGACCAGTCCATCTGGTTGTGCTTTTCCCTAGGCTGCTGGAATGGAGATGTGCCACTGTGTGGGACCCTAGCTGGCTCTTTCAGTCACTTCCTCTCTCTCCACGGCTCTATCTGATGGAACACATGTGGTTAAATGCGGTGCCTGGGGGCACAATGCAGGCTACCGCCCTCACTGTGGTACCCAGAGGACAGAGGCATCCTACATAGCTTTGCTCTGTTTTCGTGTCATGAGCCCCTCTCCCAGGGCTGGACAGAGTGTCCATTGTGGAGGGAGAAGAAGGATACTGCTGATGAAGGCTCTGTTGGCATGCCTGTTCCCATGTCCTCTTGCTGACTGTTTCCTGTGGCAAAATCCCAACTCAAAAGGGTGCCCAGGCCGGGCCTGCCGGCTCATGAGAGTCCGGGACACATTCCTGGCAAGTCACTCCTCACAGCCTGCCTCCCCAGACAGGAAAGGTACTCAGACAGGCTTGTCCCACCCCTACACCACATAGAGGGAGAAATCCAGACCCAGAAAAGAGCAGAGACTTGCCTAAGCTTACACAGCATGGCAGGGTGGCAGACCAAGGTAGGAACACAAGGGTCAGAACATAGGCCCTGAAGCAGACAGCCCTGGCTCCTACTCCAGTCCTGCTACTGACTTATATGACTTTGGGACAGTCCCTCCTCTCTAGGCCTCAGTGAGCCCATCTGCAAAATAAGGCAGATAGACAGATGATTCTAAGCTCAGTGAGTCTTCTCTCCAAAGCTCTTGCCCATATTCTAGGGAGAGGTGACCCAGGGCCCTGCTCATTTCTCTTCTAGGTAGCCAGTAGTCTTGGTGGCTGCTGCTAACATACGAGCCCCACATCTGCCAGAAGAGGGTCACTCTCAGGACCAGCTGAGCTGCTCTGGTGGCAAAGAACAAAGAGCCCCCCAAGACGGGGAGTATGTGGAAGGTAAGGCTGCAAAACTTCATTACATAATCACTGGCAAGAGGCCAGGGGTGGGACAGGAAGGTCACACAACCCTGAAGAGTGTCAGACCTGATGTCAGATCACCAAGGCCAAATCCTCCCTGCACAGAAGGGGAGCCTGAGGCCCTGAGAGGCAGGACAGAGCCCTGCCCTGGCCCCAGGTTAGGGCTCAATGCCCTAGCCTGCCTCAGGCGCAGGGTGGCTCTTTGGTCCTGTTGCTCCGGCTCCCAGCTGACTTTTTTTTGGAGTCAGTGTCTCACTCTGTGCCTAGGCTGGAGTGCAGTGGCACGCTCACGGTCACCACAGCCTCAATCTGCTGGGCTCAGCGATACTTCTGCCTCAGCCTTCCAAGTAGCTGGAATCACCGGCATATGCTACCAGGCCCAGCTAATTTATTTATTGCAGAGATGAGGTATCTCCATGTTGCTCAGGCTGGTCTCGAACCCATGGGCTCAGGCAATCCTCTCACCTAGGCCTCCCAAAGTGCTGGGATTACAGGCGTGAGCCACCCCACCCGGCTTCCAGCTGACTTCTTGATGTGATAAGGACACAGGGGTTGCTTTGGTTCTTTCGGAAGGCTGAAGATCAGGGAGGAACACTTGCCTGACCCGTTCTGACCAACAGTCATCAGGTCATTCATCCAGAAGGCTTGAGGACCAGGCCACAGCGGCAAGAGACAACACTGAGGGGGCCTGGCCCCTGAGGTTGCAGTGTTTTGGGTTTTAAATGCTGCAGAGGGGAAGAGTGAATTTGGGTTGATGCAGGAGCCACAGCTCACTACTAAACAATCACAGGAAGGTATATGTAGTTCAGACACACAGAGGTCATACCTGACGGAACAGCTAGCCTGGTGGACTGAACAAAAGCCACTTCGAAGTCTGTTCATCCTGAGAAGGGGGACTGCCCAACTCCCACGATAATGCCAAGTGGAGTCCTGAGATGAAGCAGTGAATACGTTCTAGATGCAAGCCCTGTGGGACTGTTTTTATGATGACAGGGATATTCATCCGCTGAATAGGCCTGTGACCCAGGTCACAGTAGATACTGTGGCTAGAGGGTCCATTCTACATGGGTACCCGTGTGACATTACTCCTGCAGAGTGGAAGAACAGTCCTAGAAGCCTTATGCACTTTGTTATGTCAGTTTCCCCTAGGAGTCTTACAGATGCTAATAAAAACCTTAGGATCATTAACAAGAGAATGGTGATGGAAGAGGAGGACTTATCCCAGGAAGGTGGAAATCTTAAAATGGTTATTATTAAGAAAGAAGATGAATAAAGGCAACATTGATGGGGTAAAATGGAGGAGAAAAAGAAAGGGGAGAGTGATGGGACTTGTCCTAGCAGGGTGGAAATATTTAGGTGGTTACTAGGAAATGGAATTGATAAGATGGGAATGGATGGGGTTAAAACAAAGGTCTTAGTACAACACTATCAAAGGTTGGGTGGACCAAAAGGAACCCCTGTGAGCTCCCAACAGTAAAGGGCTCCAAACCAGTTTGCT